TTGAGAAAGGTCCATTAGAAATTAATGAATCATTGGTCTTCTTAGAGAGATTGAGAAAGGTCCATTAGAAATTAATGAATCATTGGTCTTCTTAGAGAGGTTGAGAAAGGTCCATTGGAAATTAATAAATCTTTTACATGTAATTGGGAAAAATAAAATATTAAATAAATAATTTAAAATATATGGAAGGAAATTAATAAATCATTGTTATTCTTAGAGAGATTAGTTTAGTTAGATTAGCGAGTTAGTTAGATTAGTGTAGTTAGTTAATTATATTAGTTCAGTTGAATGATGAGGTCAGAAGCCAGATTGCAAAGAATCGAGAAGTGAGTAGGTGAGAAGGTAGAGGCAACAGGTATGGACAGCTTTTTTAAAAGCATTTAGTTGTGAAAGAGAAGAGAGATCTAGGGCAGTAGCTGCAGAAATTGGTAGAATCAAACGAAGAGGGATTTTGTTGTTTATTTGTTTTTAGAGAATGAGTGTCATCTGAGTATGTTTGTAGGCGGTACGGAAGGTCCCGGTAGAAAGGGAAAGTCTGAAAATGCCATCAGTACAGTTGTTTTGAGATGCGCTTGTTTTCCAGTATCCCAGCCAGAGAGTACCAAACTGGCCTCAGCTGTTTCACACACTGAGAATGATAGGGGCATAGAACTTAAGATGGAAAGGACTTTCAACTGGTATTCCTAGCTCATGCCGTCTATTTCTCCCTCCCTCCCCCTTGGGTCCCAGTTAGCATATTGATTTATCCTTCTTTGCCTCTTAAAGGGCAGAATCTCTACTTTGGCATGGTATTGTTTTATTTTCCAACTGTGTTTTCATTCCTTTATGTGCCCATTTTCCCTCGTGAAAGCATCTACTCATGTCACTGTGCATTGTTTGAAAGAAAATTGCTTAGGCTTTCTTCTCTGGATGGAACTCATCTCAATCCTTTCCTTTTATGCCTGTCATACTTTGTAAGATACAAGACTATAAAGAAGGATTTTTGGAGGTGTTTCATAACATTAATTCACAAATTCCAAAGACAACCAATCAGAGGCCACACTGAAATAAATCAATTCTAAGAACTCCTTGGACAGCTTCCAGTGAAGTCACACACAAGTGAAAAATGAAATTTAGCTTGATTCCCTCTACCAGATAAATTCGCTATCCTCCAATACAGCTATTAATCAGCAGCACATAGCACAGTGTTGACTTATGTAAAGACTATTTGGTAATCACCATCATCATAACAATTCAAATGAGAAGACAAACACAAGTACAAAGGATCTGCTGAGCTGACACACTCAGAAATGCACAATCTGCCAAGATGAGGATGTCTGTCTGATTTTGTCATAGTTTTTATAAGGCATTTACACCCTATAAACATCATATAACTTGACAGGTGATCCTAAAATAATAGGGAATTCCAACCTGTGCTTTAAAAATAAAAACCAAAAGCCCCACCGTGTGTCTCTTCTTCCAAGCTCATTTTTTAAAATATGTTATTTGGAGTTTTGTTTTTTCTAATTTTCCAGTTCCAATTTTCTAATCCTCCCCTTCCTCTGTTCCTGTAGCTTTAAAAAAAATGATGCTTCTGGGTAGTTTACTCAGTCAATGAAGCAGTGGATTTGGAGACCTGAGGTTGTATTCTACCCACTAGCTCTGTGACCCTGGAAAAGTCACTTAACCTCTCTCCCTTAGTTTTCATGTCTGTAAAATGGATTTTATGGCTTTGAAGGCCCCTTCCTTCTCTGAATCTCTGATCTTATGATGCAGTGATTAAAATGCTTCAGGAAGGCCTGATTTCAAATCCTGTCTCCCACTTAGTACCTATGTGATCCTCACTGTCACCTAAGCCTTCTTCGTCATCTATAAAATGAGGGTGTTGAACTCAGTGGATTCTAAAATACCTTCTGGCTCTAAATGTATGATCCTATGGAAAGTCAAAGTGGGCAAAGTAGAGAAAATGCTTTTTAAAAGCATTTTTTAAAAAATCAATAATTCAAAAGACAATGTTATACTACCTAGAAATAGGTAGCAAAATTATATTTCTATTATTTCTTGAAGTTTTATTCATAGTGATTCCCCCCCCCCCCCCCCGTGGGGCAGTAATTGGTACAGTAGATGGAGTGTTGGCCCTGAGGTCAGGAGGACCTGAGTTCAAATCCAGCTTCAAGCACTAGCTGTATGACCCTGGGCAAGTCACTTAACTTGCTTGCCTCAGTTTCCTCATCTGTAAAATGAGCTGCAAAAGGAAATGGCAAACTATTCCATTATCTTAGTGGAGAAAATCCCAAACGGGGTCACAAAGAGTTGAGCATGACTGAATAACAATTTCTCCAATGATGTTGATCCTCAGAGTTGAGTTTTGCTTTTAAAATTGTTTTCTCTTTAAACTAAGTTTTTTTTATAAAGAAATATAAATTCAATACAAATTAGTAATTGTGCAAAAAAAGTATTGCCTTAACCAAGAGATCAGATTATATAGGAATGACAAGGTCAAGAAAATGTTAAATTCCTTCAAAAATAGTTTCGCATTCCTTGTCCTTTATAAGCCTATTGCTTAGAGGAGCTTAGAAATATACTTTTGATAACAAATAGGTCATTCATAATAAGAAAAGTACTTTCTTATTTTCTTTTCCTTACCATTCCTTGAAGGGGGTGTCAGGGATGAAGGGCCTGGCTGTTAAAGAGGAAATGCAGAAGTTTTGTTTTTTTTTTCCATTAAGAGGAAGAAAAAAAATCAGTTCACTAATAAAGGATGTCACGTGTGTCAAACATTTCATACCTAGAAGTACATTAAATTCACCAACAAATATTTGTTTGAGTGAAAGACTCTATTATTTCACCTACTAGTTTTTCATACTAAAAACTTTAGAAATTTGCTAGGTGATAAGTCATTAAACTTGAAAAGAAACTACCTTATTTGGATCCATTTCCAAGTCAGTCCAATCTCAAAAGGATTCTGAAAACCTTAAATTTCACATTTTTTCCTGAAGTTTGATGTGTTGGAAGCTTATGTGTTTCTCCTTCCTCCAGTGTAACACTTGCCTCTTCTGTTTATGATGAATTGCTACTTCCTGTGCAATTAGCATTACGTTAAATGTTAAGTCTGATTGCATTTTCCTGCCTGATGAATTGTACTTCAAACACTATCTGACATCCACCTCCTATGAGGTCCTCCCTCCATTGCCTCTTCCATGATTGGAAGGCTGGAGGGCACAGCAATAAACTCTTCCAAAAGCCCTTCTTTACTGAAGTCTCAAGGGTTAAGTGAGTTGCCCAATGCCACACAGTTAATAAGTAGCAGAGCTGGGATTTGAACTCGGGTCCTTTCACTCCAAATTCAACACTTTCCCAAGGTCTTTAAATGCCAAACCAAGAAGTTTGTATTTCAGAGTCAACAGGGAACCACTGGAACATCTTGAGCAAGAATGTGGCGTGGTCCGACCTGTCCTTCTGGAATATCACTTTGTCAGCTACGTGGAGGCTAGATTATGGTGAAGAGAGATCTAGAGGCAGGAAAGCCAATTAGGAACCTATTGCAATAGAGCTGTTGAGAGACGTTGAGGGCCTGAGCGAGGCTGTTGGCTGTGTGAGTGGAAAGAAAAGGCGAAATGGGAAAGATGTGGAGACAGAATCAACAAGACTTGAGAAGTGATGGAGGGAGAAGAAATCACTCAGGTTGGAAATCTCAGTAACTGGAAGGATGATGGTGCCCTGTCCAGAAACAGGGAAGTTAAGAAGGGGTAGATTTGGAGGGAAAGATAATGGAGTTCATTTGAGACGTGCTGAGTTTGAGATGCCGGTCAAGTGGGGATAATCAGCAAGTGGTTGCTAATGCACCACTGGCGCTCAAGAGACAAAGAGGAAGGTTGGCTCTATTGGTTAGAGATACTAATTGGACTCATGGGGAAAGTGTAGAGAGGGTGTGGAGAGAGAAGAGAAGGGAGCAGATGGGTAATGGTGAGACCAAGAGACAGTTATGTCACGTTTTTGTATCTTAAAGAACTTTTATGTTTATGTCAATTTATTCTGTTTTAAAAGACCTATTGTTTTAGTTATCTCAGCTTACTTAGGAGAGGCCATAAACATGTATAAGGATGTATAATATGACGAGAAGTGGGGCTGGAATAAGTCGGAAAGACTTCATGTCTCTATCTCCCTCTCTCTCTCTCTCTCTCTCTCTCTCTCTCTCTCT